AGTAAGCCTTTCCGGGACAATGGAGCCGGATGACGGAGCCACCAAGTAGAGAGGTAGCGGCGCAGGGGGGGGGGGGGGGGGGGCAACTCCCCCCCCTAGGTGAGTGCTTGCCCCCCCGTGTGCCCCCCCGCTAACAGTGGCGGATCCGAGTGACATAGTGTGACCTATGCACCCGCTGCTTGTGCGATGCGGTTTTGCGGTGCGACCGGGCACCGCCTTGACAGCGGCAAAGGCAGAGTCTATTTTCTGGGGGGGAGCAAAAATTGCCCAGTCCACCCCCGCCGCCCTGAGAAAATAGTCTCTCCCTTTGCCGCTCTGACTGCACTGCCCGGCCGCACGGAACAAGCAGCAGGTGCACAAGTCCCAATCAGGTCCCTCGACGTCACTCGGATCTGCCCCATAGACGCCTCCACGGCTGGTAGCCGCGGAATTTGAACTGTGTGTGATGTCCTCTTGTCGGCTGCGAGGGACACCACTCTCCATCCTGGAAGAAAAAAAAAAAAAATCTACTACTTACCTCACCGCTCTCCATCCTGAGTTTTATTGCTGTATAATGTATTGCTGGGATTTGTGGTGCTTTATAGCTGGTGGTATTCTGCATTGCTGTATAATGTATTGTTGGGTTTTATAGTCCTCTATACAGTGGCAGAACTACAGGGTCAAATAGTTGCAGCTGTGACTGGACCCTAGCATTCTGTCACTTGGGGGGCCCAGACATTAATTCACGCACTCCTGGCCCGCGAGTCGAACCAATCTGTCTACATACCCATACCTTTTTATTGTAATATATATAATTATTGCATACCGCATTACTCTCATACTTGGAATCTTATTTATATATACTTTATTAGTTTTTTTTCCGTGGTATGATTTAATGGTGAAAATTATTAGTGCCCCCCCAGTTTTGACTGTGGTATCTTATGTGCCCCCCCTATATATTGTTCCTAGAGTCGCCACTGGTTAACTTTAACAGCCAAATTATATTTTTTATCCATTTGAAGTATTTTAACTGTTCGCCACGTGCTTGTTGGCGGGTTGATAGTTGATATGGGTAACTGCACTTGTAATATAATTTGCTGAATTACTTAATAAACTCATTGGATTGTTAACAGTATCAGGTTTATCCAATCATAATTTAAAATTTTTCTTTTTTTAATTGTATAAAGTGCCTTGTATTCTGTAATGCACAACTGCCAATTACATAGTTTCCGAGCCTATGTAGCCTGAGAAAATGTAGATGTTTTACATTATAAAGATCAGAAGCTCTATTTTATTATGCTTAGCAAAATATGTAATAATATCATTTTAATCTGTGAGCTATCCTGTAAAAAGAAATAAAAAGAATAAAAAATGAGACTACATATAATTAAGGCTATGCAATATTTTTTCTAATTAAATAAAATGACATTTATTTATATTTTATCTAATAGATTTAAATATTATGTTTGATAATAGTACAAAAAAGGACTCAATGCCATAGTTAGTTAAAGAAACAGTTTTCCCTTGTATCGATACTTTCATCAAACATTTTCTACAATTAAATATATATTACACCAATGCAGCACAATATTAAACCTTTCGTTCTACATTTTAGACAGAAACAAAATGGCATATAATAATACATATCTTTTAATTTTAATTTTCTTTTCATTTAAATGGTAAGTGTTATTTCATATCACATTCTGTATCCCCCCACTTCCCTTATCAAATTGTGAAATACAAGTACAAACCTTTAATCTGACCATATAGGTTGTAATCGATTCTACAATCTTCATACAGTCTTCTTAAGGCCCCATTCACACTGAGCGATTTATGGAGCGATTTTTGCAGCGATATCGCTCATATTTCCACGCGATATCGCTCTATGTAGCTTCTCCAATCCATTTCAATGGAGCTGTTCACATCTCGTCGCTCAATATCGCTTGTAGCTCGTAGCTGGTAGCTTGTCGCTCCTACATGACCCTTTTTTCAAGCGATTTTGAGCGATATTGCTCCTGATTGCATACAGCCCAATAGGAAAAAGTTGCGCGATGTCGCGCGACACGTTGCTCAATATCGCTCGTCGCGCAATATCGCTCAAAGTCGCGCGATTTTCATGTCGCTCAGTGTGAATGGGGCCTTAGACTACTGTTTACAATATGAAGACAAACAATTGATATTTATTTTATATTAAATATTTATAAAGCAATGAATATGACATTCACCAAACAATTAGTGCAGGTGAAACTTCCTAGGGCCTGTGTTTTAAATTATAGTGATTGATTCACCCACAATGAGTGTTTGTTGAATGTGATTTTCAGTGCTTTATAAACATGGCCCTATATTGGTATCCAGTTAGGCAGGCTCTAGCACTATATCATTATTAGTAGAGCTACAGCAGATTGTATAGTGTATTGTCATTTTTACATGCAGACTAACCAATCACCTTATTCCCTGGGATGTCAACACTGGGGAAGTCATTCATTGAGAAGCTGGTTCAGTCTGCATTTAATGCATATATTTTAAAAAGTAATTGGGTGAATGAGGGGTTAAAAATATGACCCTGCAACAGAACGCCAAGTAGTTCTTTAAAAAATTAAATTGCTTGCCACCAATCCCCCAGAAGAGGAAACGTATACTGCTCCCTTTTCTAAAGAAGGAATAACACAAACTATTACTTGTCCCAATCTACGGTCCCACAAAAGTCAGCGGGCAGGACCTCCTCCCTCCAGAATGTGGGTGTGCACTCCTCAGCATTACGTATAATGCAGCAGTGGCAGCTGGTAACGCATTGTACCCAATGATGTCAGTGAGAGGGGCAGAATCAGAGATCTGCAAGAAGAGCAGCTTTGGGGGACTGGATGTTACGTTAGGAACCTGTGTGGACAAAGTCTACAGCACCATGAAATAAGGTAAGTAATACTCTCTGTTAAATAAAAATAAAAAAAAACAAGCATTATATTCATTATCTGTTGTCAAATTAAAGTTTTTACAAATTATTTTTTTTTTAAACTGCTTGCAGTTAAGCTTTTAGGCTTAAAAAGGCTTCAATATGAAAGTAGAACTGAAGCCAACACATTTTTCAGTTATTTTTGGATAAAGAAAGGTAGGATTATAACCCCTGTCAACTTTTTTTCTGCCATCTATGTCCCATTGGGGAGATTTCCCGCCACTTCCTGTCCAATAGCCACAACATAAAGTGAGAAGAAATCTCTACAAAAAGAGAGGGAAATGCCTGGTGGTCAGCAGAGTCAGTAGAACTAGCGTCCCCACTAGAAGATTTCCCTCCTGTTCACAAGACAACCCAAAGTTTGGGACTTTCTTTCATTTTCACCAGGACAATTAGAGAGTATGAATCTCCTTAATGGGGACACAGTCGGCAATAAAAACCTATTCTAGTATTCTAAAACCTCTCCGCTCCATCCCCCAAAAAAGAAAAGTTTTGGTTTCAGTTGCACTTTAATTGTAGATGTATTTAGAGATTTTTGCTAAACATTTTTTTTAATGGCTTTGATATACTGCATTGTAAGAATGTCAAACACTGAATGACCTGAAAATAAAGAATTCTCTTTTCACTTTCTGTTAGGTGGCCCCTGTCACTTACTTCTTTACATAGGCTGCAAAGTCGTTTGTTAGACATCCTCCTTTTTACCTCAATACCAGTTACACTGTAAAACTGTCCAAAAAGGAGCCCATATTGAGCTATATCAGCACCGACTATACAGACACTACGGAGTTGTGATCACAATATTACCTCCTAGCAGTCAACCATGTTTGTTTCCACAACTCTCTAAACCTATGGGTGCTTTGTTCAAACTTGCACTTTCATGGTGAGAATTACCATGATGAAGGTTATAAAAGTAACTGCAATGTGGCTAAACTGCCACAAAGTGCTATTACATGCAGTTGATTGTACTTTTAATTTTTTTACATTTTCATAATCACTTATGATCATAATTCACAATTGTAACAGTATTCAATGATTTGAAACCATACGAGAAAATGCCACGTCCACATGCTTCTTCATTAAAATGTACTAGTCTCTGTTCTTTATACCACAAAATTACTGACCAAGAACGTAATGTGTCCAGTGGCACATAAATGTATTCAAATGTTTTTGCCTGAAATGCTTCTGTAATTGCCTATCTCTAGCAATCCTTGAAGGTTGATGGAGGGCAAACAATGGCTCGAATACAGGCCTCAACTGTCCATGACCTGCTGACAATAGAGGATTTAACGTAAGTCTCTTGGTTTATTATCTGCAGGAGCAGCTCTCTACAGACATGTTGGGGTAGATTTTCAACACCACATTTCGGCTTTCGTCCAAGAACAGCACACTGAGAGAACTCATTTTTTCAGGTGTACAGCATGGCTCTGGGACTCCAGGAATTATCCCCACAGCCTTGACAATGCTCTGGATGGTTGCGTGGTTGGAAGGTCGAACAACCTGTTGGGAAAAAAAACAGATCAGATATTTCCACTAGGGAAATTCCCAAGTTCTTCAACAGGCACAAGACAGCAGTCTTCAGTGAAGACAGCTTTAATCAAATGATAAAAGATATAAGCAGTGACCATTGTAACTACTTTAAGGAAAAGTGAACTTTAAAACAAAGTGCATTTATTCTATAGGCCTCTTTAAGATGACATCACTGATTCCTCCTTCCCTGTGCAGAGATTAATACTTAACAAGTTCAGATTGGCCCAGCCTCCGTTTTTGGTTTACATCCTGCGGCAAACTTCTCCTTTTCCTCCTCCTTATCCTAATTGACTTCTCCTCTGTCTCTTTTGCTTTCTGTCCTGGAGACACAACTGAAAGTATGAAAAAATCTCTCCATATTGGGGGAATACTTTCTAACACAATTGTCACTGAACCAGGTCCCTATTGGAGATTTCCCCTTGCCTCACTGGTGGAAATTGTAAACAACTGGATTTACCAACTCTTTCTCTCCCAGTATTAATAGCCACACTAATGGTTGGGAACTATGCTGATGGGTTCTAGATCATGTGTTCATCATGAGAGCCTCACATACAAAGAGGCACAGTGACATCTTAAGAGGCAGAATTTTAAGCTTTAAAATTCACCTGGAATAAGCATTTTTAAAACATTTTTTGTTGGGTTGTCAGCATATAATAAAAAATATTAGTAGAGAATTTATTTAAACAGTACAGCAAATAAAATCTGTATATGCCCTACCAATGCAACATTTACATAATTTGGGTACCTTTTTTATATATTTACCCCAAAATCGACAAAGTCAGCTGCTAAAAAGGATTAAAATGATATTACATTAGTTTATTAGTCCAGTAGACAAGACGTCAAAAAAAACAAAAACGTAGTATTGCAGTGTGCAATGATACCTTTCTTATTGGACTAACAAAATATATAGAAGACAAGCTTTCAAGATGAACCTCTCTTCTTCAGGTCAGAAGCAATACTGATCAACATGACAGTCAGTTAAGACAGGAAGGTCGAACAGTATATACACACGGTAAATGTATTTAAAAAAAAAAAAAAAAAAACACTTTTTGTTCTTAATGGAGGGTCTGGATCTGGGGGGAGGGGGGGCAGCGGACGAGCGTACACTCCCCCCCATTCTGCACCATACCAGGCCACATGCCCTCGACTTGTGGAGGGTTCTTTTCCAGGGGTCCCATATCGATAAGGACAATGGCTTATTCCCTGCAACCCTGACCCGGTGGTTTTGGGGGTCTGCGGGCAGGGGGACTTATCTGAATCACCCCCTTGTGAATGAGAGGGGGTAGTTGTTACCCCTACTCATTCGCCAAATAAAAAAAAGTCAAATTATAAATAAAAACACCACACCGTAAACAAAAGTAATTTATTTGAGAAAAAAAAAACTGCAAAGGTTTTTGGCAAGTCTTCTATTCAAAAAAAATTTTTTAAATTGTCCATTGATGTAATCCAAAGGTCAATCACGTCGTCCAGCGAAGTAGATCCACATTAATCATAATGGATGATGGGCGCCAACTTGCCAAAAGAAAAAAACTCGACACCCACTGACCTGTCTTATCCCGACAAACAACGCAGCAAAATGACAGCACTGATCTGAATGTAAACAAAAGGGTGGAGTGAGTTGTGACATCACTGGACTTGTTCCGCCCATTTGTTTACATGCTAATTGGGATTTCTGACTCCGAATGGCATTCGGGTACTTCCGAATGGTAGTCGGGAATCCCAAATAGCATTCATCAGCAGAGCTATCATAATTTTCTTTTCTTTTTAATAAAAGACTTGTCAAAAACCTTTTGTGTTTTGTTTTTTTTTTTCTCAAATAAAGGACTTTTGTTTATGGTGTGTGAATTTACTTATTTACAGATTCAGAAAACCCCCCCTGCCCACAGACCCACAGGGCCAGGCTTGTGTGGAAGAGGCCCTTGTCCTCAACAGACCTAAAGACTCTGGTATACATTTTGGAAGGGACTCCATGCTTTTTTTTTAATTATTTTAACGCTCAAAAAAATTAATTTCTGACATTCTGAAAAAAATTTGTATGCATCTGAAATTTTAGTTTTTTGGAAAAAATTTCAATATTTTTTTATTAGGAAATTCAGATGTATCCGAATGTCTGAATTACTAAAAATTTGTCTGAATTAGTTCTATTCGGAACAAAACAGATCGCACATGTCTACCTGTCATGCAGTTGTGTAACTTCCCATTAATTTCTAATAGTGATCTACTGCTGTCTGCAATTAGCCAACAATAGAGGATCTCCTGCTGTATGGAGAGACTGGACAGAGTTACAACAGCTCTAACTAAGCCTCCCTATTGACAGGAAGTGTGGTGACAGTCACTGTATTCCTAATGTAAACATTATGCAGAAGCATAATGTTTACTTTCCCTTCTATGAAGCAATCTGTAGAAGCTTTGGAAGCCCAGGAGCTGATTGTTCCAGGACTTGGTCGTAGCACTGAACTCCGGCTGCTTACGGGGGTGTTGGATGATCTCAGCCGCCTCTTCAAAATGGCACTGGGATGAATAGCCCCTGTTCCAGCACTGGCTGGGACTCAAGTGGTTAAGAAGAAATCTGCAGGACAACAATCTCAAAAAAAAAAAAAACAAGTCAAAACAGTCAATTGTCTGACTTCAAGTGAGATCAGCAAGATCAGCAAGACATAACTACTGCACAGTACTAATAAGCTGGAAATAGAGACTCCCGATATACATACACAGAAACAATTTACAAAGAAATTTGTTTTTTCAAATTTAATAAACGCATTGATAAGATTTGAATTAAGCAGATCTCTTTAGAATTTAGACGTGTAAATGTAAAAACATACAAAAACTTTAAGAACAAAGGCACTCAGTGGGAGCTATGCTGTTCCTGTTTCCAGTTCTATCTTTACCACTGACAGTTGTAAAACAAAGAGATGAAGGAGGTGGCCTTACATTGTTTTGCCATGTTTGACTGTTAAGCTGGCCATACACTGAGCAGATTTTGGCCAGTTCATTGAGAACCTGAGCCATGTGTGGCCCTGTTGGCACACCCCTGCTCGCTCAACAGAAGTCCACATTTCAACTTTTGTCAAAGAAGCTGGTCTGAACTTTCGGGCGAACAGTGCCGGCATCCAATGCATCCAGCACCAGCTGTTGAATACAAAAGGCAGCAGTAGGAGATTTGTTCATCTATGCTGTTTAGCGTGGATGAAGGAATCTGTGAGATTTTTATCCTTCACTAATCTATTAAGGGTTTATTTAGAAACAATTCATGGTGTCCTGGGTGAATATATGCACAAACAAACTTTTTTTTAGTTTTTTCCTTTTCAAATGTAAATACATTTAAATGTTCTGATTTTAATATTGAATTATGGCCACTAGATGGTGCTGAGGAGCAGAGACAATAATTCTCCTTTTTTTCTATACACCTGTAGTGCCATCTAGTGGCCATAATGCAGTAATATTCTCGGAACATTCAAATTGAATTACACTTGTAAAGTGTAAAATTTGCAAAGGACAAATATTCACAGATACTCGCAGGGCGAAAAGCCCTGCACATTGTTTTTAAATCAACCCCTTAGCGTAAGGTCAACCTTAGAAACATGGAGATCCCATGAACTGTTTTTCGTCTTCACAGAAGGGAGGTATTGCATTTTTGCACTTTTAGAGGGTATTTTATGTAGCCAGCTATCGGGACAGAGTTATTTACATTTACTGATCTTCTGATGCTTTCGAAATACAATACTACAGAATTCCTACGAAACTCACGTTTTATGGTTTCAAAAGGGAAAGTGTTACCATTGAACTTCAGGAGCTGTGTATTCTAAAAATTTTGGTTGTGGCAGTGGGAAACATGCGCAGTAGCGCACAGGACTGTTATAAGAGGGGCTGAAAACATTGCCTATTGGTGGGTAAGCCATTAAAGCTGAAATCCAGTGAAAGCACAATTTTAAATTTGAATTGCTATTTAATTTTTTTCCAAGGGAGGCAATTAAGTCTTTAAAAAGTATTTTTATACTTTAAAAGTTTTCCAAACTTGCCAGTTAATAAATTCTCCTTTTAAATTCCAGCAAAAATAAAGGTCCCTTAAGCAGTGTAAGAATTGTGTATAAATATCTTCTCTAAATACTCAAGAATGCCCCCGAGACTAGAATGAATATTCTTACAAAAACAAAGCACATCTTGTGTCACAGAATGACACACACACAAAAAATTTCTGTTATGTGTTAAAGGAGTAAAAAAACAACTGTGTGTGACATTTGTGACTTGAGGACAGTTAGCCTGAAATCTCTTTTTAGATGGCATTTGGTTTAATGGTCACATCCATTGAATACTGTCCATGATAGTTTTTTTTTTTTGCACTTAGTTACATTTTAGGACAGGCTTTCGGGTTGGGGGTGTGTCTTCCATCCAAGCAGTATTGATATACAAAGCCTTAACAAAATGTAAAGCCCACTGGCTTGGTGGTTAGCATCTCTGCCCTGCAGCACTGGGGTGCCTGATTTGAACCCTGGTCAGGACACTATCTGCATGGATTTTGCATGTTCTCCCTGTGCTTGCATGGGTTTTTCCCCCAAAGGCATGCTGGAAGGATAACTGGATCCTGTCTAAATCAACCCTAGTATGTTTGTACATGCAATTGAGGTATGGACCTTGGATTGAAAACAACTTGAGGAGAGGGACTGACATCAATGATGTAAAATGCTATAAAAAATACCCGTAATAGCAATCTCGGAATAAAAGAAACATACAAATAGGTTACCAAAAGAAGCAAGAAAGTTAACTAGATAAGGGAAAGAGTAAAGCTTATCCTGTATCGGTAAAGAGCAAAAGAATGACTGATTCTCCCATCCACATTAAACAGCACAGATAGGGAAATCTCCCCTGATGGCTATTGTATGAAATCTATTAGTGTGTTATAATATACCCCTTATATTGGTGATTGGTAGAAAATGCTTCTTTTGTGCGCTTACATTGATCGACAGTGGGAA